AATTAAAAATTAAATAAAACGTATGTAAACAGGATAGACTGCAGACACAGAATGTACCCAACTAACTCATGAATCTGTCACATAGCACAACTATACAATGGAGATCTGTGCAGGGTGAGTTAATCATTGTCATACATTTTAAAGGCCTAAATACCCAAACAAAGGGACCTCTGTGGTCATCATAAAAGACATTCCGTATGTCTGTGTTATAACATCAAAATTCACTCACATCCAGCGGTAAGGTCTTTCAACAAGCAGTGTGTGTCACAATCATGGCAGATCCTCTTGACACACACAACAGAAAAACGATTTACAAGATACAATTTAAAAATGAAAAAAGAGAAAATTATATCAAAGATAAATGACAGAATAATAAAACTGATCCAACTTACCAATCACCACTCCTCTGAGTGAAACGCAGATTTTTATTCTGTATGTACCTTCATAAACTCCCTTCCTGTTTCACTGCTAAATTGGGAAGTAAGTACAATAGATCACAAGACACGGTGGCTGTAGACAGCAACAACTTCTGTTAGAATCGGAGTGTAACCTTAGGAACAGCAACTATTTTCATTTATTGTGACGATAAACTCAATTTGTCCTTGGCTTGGCTTAATGCATTGTTGGGATTTCTATTTTTACTATGTTTTCCAGTTTGGGTTTAACTAGACCAGCAATAAATTAAAATGCACTACTTCATTTAATTGGTGTCCTGAAGTTGCCTAGTCAATAACTATAATAGGGTTTTTTTGTTGTTGATTTTTTTTGTTGTTGCTTTTTTGCTCTTAAGTGCAGTATTTGTGTTTGTGAGGTTTTGACAGAACTGATGTACAGTGCTTAAATATTTTATCACTTATTTTTTAACACCATGAAAACACTATATACAATGCTAAACTGCTTTCGTGTTGCACTGGTAATTTAGTAATTTAAGGTAATTTAGCCCTTTGATTTGACTGGAGTTGGAGACCTCTGACATAGAGCCTAAGAGCGCTTCCTAGTTTTCTAAAAGTTGATTCCGAATTGATCGGAAAACAGATCAGACTTCCTCATCATTTGAATGACTCCAAATACTAAACGTTGTGGTGAATAAATCTTCATCAGTGCAGACAAAGTGTCTGCATACCATATCATATTAGGTATCAAAGTTTACATTTTTTAATTATTTATTTTACAATGGCTGTTATACTCTAATTGTATTGACTGAACAATTGAAAGTTGTGTAGTTTTTACATGTTTGACCAAGTTTGTGAAGCTATTTGTGTATTTAAGTGTGTTGTACTGGTGCAGAAGTATAAAATACATTTGTAATTCAGTACATTTATGCCTGTGTTTAAAAAATGAAACATTTTAAGCCAAGTCAGCTGTTTTTTCTGTATTCAATCAGTGGCATTCAATACTGAAACTCAGATATCAGTATTCGAAGTGAAAAATGTGGATCGGTGCATCCTTAGGAAATAATAGTGGAAACTAGCAAAATGATGGTGGGAATTTTAAAGAGGTGTTTGACTAACTCAAACCAATGAAGACTTACCCATCAATTACTAAGAAGGATATAAATCATTTCCATATCCCTAAATAAATACATTTTAAACTACTAGAGGTAGATTTAACTTTGGGTCTCTCAGATGCTCTTTGTGAGAGGCCCACAGACTTTTCCACCACTGCAAATATATAACTACTTTTACATAAGAATAAATTCATTTCCTTTATTCTATGTTCACAATTCTGGACAATAAATGAGAATTTAATCTGTTGAAAGTGTTAATATTTGCAAACAGCAATAAAACAATAATGAGGCACACCTATTCAGCACGAAAACTGCCAATATATAACTACTAATAGAAAAGGCTGTAAAGACGGAATCAATTAATATCCCACAATGATTCCAGGGATAAATGTTAAAAATGATGCATTCAAATCATTTTCCAGGGTTAAGAAATGCATGTCCAGAGTATCATTGCTGGAATGCAGCAGGAGGATTTCTCTGCTTGGTCTTTCTAATCTTATCCATCCATCCCACACTGTTTGTGTAGGCATGTCCTACACATAGAGCAATGGTTGCACTTTATGCAGCTGTCTTTACACTGACTGGGCTGGACTGAGATTAAATAAGGGAAAACAGGAATATCCAAACATATTCCAGCTTGTTGAGACTTTTCAGACTACTTTCACAGCTACTTTTAGATCACTGTGCATCAGAAAAGTGATCTAAATCAATTTTAATATCTGTCTGTTTTTAACCCTTTAGATTCTAGCTATTACTTTCTGTAGGACGTTGTGTGTGTGTGTGTGTGTGTGTGTGTGCGTGCGTGCGTGCGTGCGTGCGTGCGTGCGTGCGTCCGTGCGTGCGTGTGACCTTGCGGTTGCATTAGTGGTTTGCTAACCAACATTCCTGATTCCTGAGGTCATTCCAAAACAACAGCAGCATTCTTAACTTTTGACTAAAGCCGACACTGGATCCTCTATCTCGCTTATTTTTTCCACTTAAATTCATGACACCTCTGAAAAGAGCTTTGCAGTTTTTGGTAAAATAATGAATCATGCAAATAGAAATTATTGAGCTTGTTTTAATTTATCATGCAATTAATTGATTTATTGCTTGTCATGACAGGTCTACACTCATGTTTTCCTATAACATGTCGAGATACAGCACTTAGTGAACCCTACTTTTACAATGACCTTCTTTGTGGCGTGACCTTCCTTGTGGATGGTGTCAATGAGCGTATGCTGAAACACTGCCAACTCAGCAGTTTTCCCCATGATCATGTGGACCACAGCATAACATTTCTGTAACAAAATCCTTTTTAATCGGCCCGATGTAATATTGTATTTTCCTGAGAACAGAATCACTGAAATGAATGTAACTGTAATTTAGATGTGACAATTCTTGAACATGGCATTTATACAAACTCTATCATGTAGCTGTCAGTCAGTCTTAACCGAGACAGACTGGGCCAAAATGGAAATATTTCTCTTTCTGTTTGCGTGTGTGTTTACATTCTGCGCAAAAAAAATGAGCTGTTCAGATCCTAAAGGACTGAGAGGAGTTTTGCCGAGGAGGGAGAGAAACAACACATGGATTTGTGGCAGCTGAAAGATGACGTCGCTATGGACGCTATGCAGGGAGCTCACTGCCTACTGTACGGCCAGAGAGAGAGAGAGCATGACCAGACCAGACCTTCTGGGCCAAATGTCCCGGGACTGTTCTGTAGTCACAACATGTGCTTGTTACGTTAGAGTTGCAAATAAAATCATTATTCATTATTCAAACTTGGCCTTAGCAACAAGAATTGCGGAGGCAAACTCATTTCGAGCTTTACAAAAGGTCCTGAGACAGAAAGCTGTTTTGAACTGGACGGCATTGTTTAATGAGTAAGCTCAAATTAGATGTAATTGACTTTAAATCTGCCTGCTTAATTGCATTGAAGTGGTTGTTCCGGTGCTATAAATAAACTGAAAAGATCTGTTATGTAAAAACATTTTGTATAAATTACTGCCCTCCACTATACTCCAAGCTGCACATGATTCATGAGGTGCTCATATTTTTACCTCACCTACATTTTAATGACACAGATAAATAATTATTTCATCCCGGACCTTTTTTGCAACAAAGGAAAGAGGGCCACATAAATGGCAGCTGTAGGAGTAAGTGAGTCACTGCGTGATGGTTTCTGCTCAACCCAACCAATAATTTGATCCAAGCCATTTTTAAAATAAAGAAATATGAGCCCACATTCAAACTCAATGGCCCTAGCGGAAATTTGATGAGGCACCGTCACTGCGGAAATCTATCAGCACTTTATGAATACAAGCAAAACAAACTTACCATTCCCAGAGACACTAAGAAATACTACATAATTTAGAAGGACAGAAGTTGGCTAGTCGGTTAAGTTTAAGTTGTGATTTAGAACTAGTTAAAATGTTAAATTAAATAAAAAAATGAAGGCGTAGTAGTCGTTTGGGTGAAAAACTGTCATGATGGGGAAGTTAAAGGAGAAAGGTTTCAATTAGTAACTAAAGCTGCTGGGATTTTGTACAACATTCACACCTTTGAAGTGAATGTTGTACACTTCTGATGCTCTGTCCAAGTAGTGTGTGTTTATTGGGATCATGAATGTGGAATTCCCACTGTTCTGTTGAATCATAACTGCGTATGTGACTTTTCTGAGATGTCTTTGTTTTTATCTTGTTCAAAATAAAGGATAAATTAGCCACCTTATAATGAAAATTCAGTTCTTTATAATTTCTCCCTATAGGTCAGGTAATTATTAGTCGAACTAATCCGCATAGATTTCAATTTGATATTCAGCCAAAAGCAAAAAGTACCCACTTTCAGCCAAGAGGTACATTATGAGAAATAAGCTTGTTTACTTAAAAACGACAACTAATTGTTTTAACAATAAATATATGTCACAGATAGGATTATCACGACTAACAATTATATTTTTTCTTAGCAGCACATTTAACAGTAATTCTAGATCAGTGGTTCTTAAACTTTTTTGAGGTACCGAACCACCCAGTTTCATATGCGCCTTCACTGAACCCTTCTGATAAGTACAGAAGCACTCCGCAGCACTGATTGGCTGAGCGATGTAACGTGATCCTCTGCAGCAGCGCTGATTGGCTAAGCAATGTAACGTGATCCTCTGCATTAAGTGATGGCAAAGCGGGGTGTCATCACGACTTTACACAGGTGTGTCTTTACCTCCGCGGCAGAGGCTCCGCCGAACCCCTGAGACCGACTCACCGAACCCCTGGGGTTCGATCGAACCCAGGTTAAGAACCACTGGTCTAGATCTTCTGTTTCAACTAAAAACAATTAGATCTTAAAGCACATTTTTTGTTTTTCAACTTGACACTGAAAATTTTACTGGAGCTCAACATGCTGGCCGATTCCTAGCAGCATCAAAAATTTCACACTCCATCCACACATCTAATATGACTGGAAAGGCGGTATATATAAGTTCAGTCCATTTGGTCCATGCAGTCAATTTACTTACAGATGAAGGTGTAGTCTCAGTGATGAAAGCTGAAGCTGAATTTGCGAGAGCAGACTGCCGGCCTGAATGACAGAAAGCACACATATTACAAGGATACAGATCACATTGTTTTAACAAGATAGCTGACAGACTCCGTCGTCACTATGAGCCAGATTTTCTTTCTGAAGTACAAAAAAATGCTTGTCACAGAGAATGAAAATATGAGTAGAATAACCACTAATTAAATGACAATGCTATAACAAAAGTGACTGTAATACTGTGATCTTATTCAGGCTTTTTCACAAAAAAGCTTGGTTCAGNANAAGAACTGGTTTGCTTTTCCATCACCCAAAAGTCAATTTGGAGCCACATCATTATGTCACCATGAATGTCTCGGTAATTTATTTGTTTTTGTGAAATGTTGTAGAGCGTGGAAACAATCTAACAAAACAAATATTGTTTATGCCAGAATCTGACTCAATATCTCCACCTTAATTTATTACCAATGCTTTCTAACTCTAAATAGATGGAAAATGGAAGCTAATAACACAACCCTAATTTCACTAAAATTAGGGCTGTCAGTGTTAAGGCATGTGATTAATCTAAAATGTTTAACACATTATTATTATATAATGCAGATTAATCTCACATGGAGGTTTATCTTATTTAAAGCAGCACATCATGAGGTTTCTACTGTAGTCATTAATGCAAAGTCGCAAACACAAGTGAAAAGATGAGTGATGCGAGAAAGTGGTGCACTCAGCGGGCAAATTTCGCTTTTAAAAACACCACAAGAGTAGTTTGCATTAAAACAAGTTGGTATGTAGCTGACTTATTACTGCGGTGAATTATTCTTCCACCAAACCGCAACCACTTTATAGCCAACATTTCTAAATTAACATCTGAAACAAAATGGTTTCTTTTAAACCTTCCTGAATATGAAAACCTGGAACATAAATACATTTGTTTTGAGCCAATTTACTTAATTTACTTTTTTTTTAACGCTTAAAGCTTACAAAGTTGAGCAGGGGGATTAATCACAGCTCTAGAGTATGATTAATCTGAATACATTTTGTTATTCGATTAACAGCACTCATTAAAATACGAAGCTAAACTCAAGTGTGTTTAGCAATGTTTTCATTGGCTGCTGTTCCCAGTGGGCCCGCCCCCTATGTAACTCCTGACGTAAGCAGATTTTCCTTTGGTCCAGCAGCAAACGGGGACTACAATAGCTCTTGTTTTCTGTATTCAGGTCGGGGTTTGTCTCATTTTAAACATTAGTGAAAAAAGCCCACTAACGCCAGGTAAGCACTGGAACCAGTTTGATGGAAAAGATCCCCGGGAGGAGAATATCAACAGTTGCATGTGACGTATTTGCAGTACAAATTCAGCAGTCTCCATCTGACAGTTACAGGAGGCACACGAACAAGAGAACAAGACAGAACACTCTGTGTATTCACTGTTAGCTGAATGAACAGCATGGCTCCCAGGACTGACAAACAGTCAGTCTGAAACAACAAAAGGCCATGTACACATCATCAGGAAGTCAAAAGCATCAACAGTCCCTGACCGAGAAGGCAGCATAACATCAGCATTGACGCCACCAAGCAGCCAATCACTGACTCATCAGTCTGGCAAGCGCTTTGAAAAGCAGCTGGATGTGCGGTGTTGTTTCAACACACACTGAGAATAAAAGCACAGTGATCTGTTGAGGTCACACCACCAACCCCACCAACATACACAGACCACACAAAAGCTCTGGGGCAGGCTTAAAGTGAAATACTGCTGAGTTTCTGATGTGTAAAGCTAATTTGAAAGAGAGTAAAAGTTGCAACCTGTTGCTGAGATCTATGAGAAGAATGTCTATAAATCTGATTTACATAAGAGAGGGAGATATCATTTTCCAGTCATGAATCAATGGCTTGTGTTGATTAATAGAAATGTGAATTCAACTGAAGCTCCTTCAAATGAGAGATTGGACATTTAAGAATCACCAGTCCTGAAACTAAACAATACTACTAACTCTAATTTGTTTGCCCATTGCTTTTACTTCTATTATTTACGGTTGTGGTAAAAGAGAGTATGGCGACTTTTAATGTTTTCATGAGGACACGATATACTGTAAGTGATCTGGTCTTTACCAAGTCTGACAAATGTTTAAATATTAACTAAAAAAAAAAAAGATTCCACTGTTAGTATTGATTAAACTCTGAAGAAATTCAAATAGAAAAGTAAATTGTAATTCAATACCCAGATAGCACAGAATGATTGAAACAACATTGAATCAATGTCAGCCAGAAACATTGAATCAACGTTGAACGCT